TTTTAGGACTGTCGAAATGGGAAAAAATGTATATCTCAGAATTGAGGGAATATGGTATGTTTAACCTTAATAGTTGGTTTCTACAGAGAATGAGGAAGAATTAAAGACTACTGACTCATGCTACCAAACGGATGCGCCTCAAAAATATTACGATAAGTGAAAGAAGCCAGATGCAAAAGACCATGCATTGCATGATTCCATTTACATGAAATGTCCAGAAAAGGCAAATCTGTGCAGACAGAAAGTAGATTAGGGGTTGTCTGGGACATAGGAATTGACTACAAATGGGCACAGGGGATCTTTCTGGACTGATAGAAACATTCTAAAATTTGATTATAGTATGATTATACAATTCAATAAATTTTTCTAACAATCATTAAATTGTATATTTAGCATGAGTGAACTTTATGGAATGTAAGTTATACCTCAATAAGGCTCTTAAAAAAAGATTTTGCTGGGCAAGGTGGCACATGCCTGTGGTCCCAGCTACTCAGGAAGCTGAGGCAGGAGGATCTCTTGAGGCCAGGAGTTTGAGGCTGCTGTGCAGTGAGCTACAACTGCATCACTCACTGCACTCCAGCCTGGGCAACAGAGAGAGAGCTCAGTGGCTCCTGGGTGCCCCACACCATCAAGGCATGAGAGATTGTAAAGCTTACATGGTAGAAGGGGCGCCTGTGCATCCTTGATGCTGCCACTCATTTGGGTTCGGTGGCCTGAGTCCCGAGATGCCAGCCAGTCTTCTACCCTGAGACCAGGGTGAGGGGGTGAGGGACTGCTACTTGGTTCACTGCAATCCCATTCACCTCAAAGTGTCAACGAGCAAAGAGCTGAGATGCCCACGTCCTGGGCTTAAGTACGGGTACTTTAGATGGTACACACTATTTCTACCACAGCAAAACCTGTTGTGGCCCAACAGAGTCCAGGCTGGGGGTGGCAGACATTTTTACAGCCTAGAGACTTCGGGTACTTTAAAAGGAAAAAGGGAGAAGAAGTAGGTCTAGGTTCTCTGTTGTAATTTACTGAATTCACAGGAAAATATGAAAACCTGCTCAGCAAATTGCTAATACAAAAGGTATGTCAAAGGAAGTGTTAAACCTACTTATAAACACCCAGTGAAATCTCAGGATAGATATTCTACGTGTAACTCATTCATACTAGGTCATGAGAGGAAGCCAGTGACATTTCAAATTGTAAACCCGATTTAAGTTGTATTCCCTCTTTTATTTTAACATAGTTACAACTGAATTTCTTTATAAAGGTTAAGATCCTACCAATGATCTGAAGGAGTGATGTTTTTCTATCACATTCACAGAAGTGCTCAATCTTAATTCTGCAAATCTTAATAAACAAGTTTCTGATCTCAGAATAACTGTTTCTAAATCCACGTATCTCACACCAGTCACCATACTCTAAACATCTGCAATCTAGACCTCATTTTTTGGGGATTCATAACTGAAGGGCCCCATCACTGTAAGCACTTATTAAAATCATCTACTGAGTAAATATGCAGCAATTCTACAGAGGCAATTTTGGAAGCAAAACCAAAAAAACCTTTTTATACCACTTTATATTCGAATATGCTAATTATCAGAAATCTTATTAAAAATCACTGTTTAATTTGAAAGTACTGAAAATGATTTCTTTACATCATATCCTATAATTTCTAATTAGTTTTTAATTAACTTGGATAAAAACCTCTTTTTATAGCCTTTAAAATAGTGGCTTTCACATTTTTTGATCAAAGGACCCCTTTTAAACTCTTAAAAAAATTGTTGCGGGACCAGGCAGCCTGACCCTGACCTAAAGTAAATTCCCAGAAGTCTTTCCTGGGTTTTGCATTTGCAATAACAGGTGTGAGCATTTTAGCAGCAGTTTGATGATCATGTATGATACCGCAAACAGGACAAAAAAAACAAAACTACTGAGGACCTCAAAGAGCTTTTGTTTATTGTAGGTTTTATCCACTTATATTTCTTTAGTAGAAATTAAAACTGAAAAATAATTTAAATGTTAATTAACTCATTAAAAAAAATAAGCTCATTAATATATATCTTTTCAAAAAATTAAACATGCTTGTTTTTAAAAAATTAGTAATAAGGGTAGTGCTGTTTTACATTTTGCAGTAGGCTCTTCAGATATTTGCAGTTATTTTTCTTTGATACTACATCAAAATTCAACATGCAGTAGTAGTTTCTTAAAGGTTGGCTGGAATGTAGAATCTGAAATCACATCTATAAACTTTTCCAACTCTGCTATATTAAAAGCTATTGGTCTATCTAACACAGTATCAAAATCACATTTGTTAGTGGATCTTTTCAGAAAAGCCTTTAAATATTGGTAACTTGTCAAACATTTCCCAAACCTCAATTTTCATTTGAAAGCTCAAATTTTATATATGGCAACAAATAACGTCTTTTGTTTTCCTTGATGTGCCAGGTTCACTGTGTTCATTTTCAACATGCACTCTAGATTCAAGATGTAATAAAACTTATAAAGGACATTCTTGGCTTTACTCATTCTTTTGTTAAAAACTGTGTGTGCATTTTAGTAGCAGAGCTACTGCTCTGTATACTAAGGCATCAGCAGTTTTACCCCATTGCTTCCACACCATCAGAGTGAATATAAGCACAGTGCAAAAGGCAAATCATGTCTCAGTAATGTAATGAAAATAATTTTGACCCTGTCAACCCATTAAAAGGATACTGAGGAACCCCTAGGGGCTCACAGGGCATATTTTGAAAATTGTTGTGTTACCAAAACTGATGCCCCAACTGCCATTCAAATGGCTAAAAGGCAGGCATCAATTTAGAAAAGGAAAGTGACAGCTACTGCTTTTTCAGGTGTTCATGTGTATTATTGATCCATCAACCATTAATATGAGTAGAAGGCTATTCCTTCTAGCCAGGTTTCAATATGGAAGCACAAAAAATGAAATCTAGTTACCAAGGAAGGATAAAAGAAACTAAACTTAATATGTAAATTTCCCCCCAAAGGAATCTAAAACATGAATTTTCTTTAATTTATCCACTTGCTGCCATATTTGCTGTGCTTTTATGTGCAGGTACTTGCTTGATACAAGAGATACAGAGAGTCTTAGGTTGACAGATCCTTTGGCCAGGGTTCATAGGATGTTAAGCAGCCAGGAAAAAAGCAGAGACATTCAAGTCAGACAGATCTCATTTCAAGTTCCAGGTACCCAATCTGTAGCTTGTCCTCTGTGATCTCTGAGCCTGTTTTCTTAGTTGGATATGGGGTAAATTCCACTTAAAACTGATAGGACTAGTTGAAATGCACGTAGAACATTTAGCTCAGCTCCCAGCCCACAGCAGACATTCAATAAATGGAAGCCACTACATGTATAAGGTCTCCTAGAGGCAGTCAGAGTCCAGAGGGGAGGGGATACACATCAAAATAACCATGACACCACATGGGAGCTGATTAATCACAAAATACAATGGAAGTAAAAGAAAAATCAAGGGTCTGCTTAAATGAGGAAGGTGCTATAACAGAGGAGCCACTGTCTCAATGAAGAGAAGTGGGTGCAGTGATACAGGAGGAAAGAAAAAGAAAGAGCATACAGATATGCAAAGTGGGCAGAGACTGGACTGGTGGAACCAAGGGGGTTTGGCAGAACCCAAGAGAAAAACACCTGGAACCAGGCAACTTAAGGCGTTTAATGCCATGCTAAGGGACACAAACATTTAAAGCAAATTTTACATTATTATTATTGCAGAGACTGAGGAATTATAAACTCTCAGTGCTAGCAGGCCATCTAGTCTTCTGCCATCCCTCTATCCCCCTAATACACACACATTAATTATCCTTATCCCTTGCTCTGACCGACTGGCCATCGCCCAGCCCGGGCTTACTAGTGGACAAGGAAGGAGCTCCTCTCAGAGGCTGCAGAACATCAGCAAAGCTCCAACAGCCAGGAGGAATTTGCCCATGTTGTTTTAAACCATGAATGAAGTACATACAGGTTGAGTATACCTTATGTGAAATTCTTCAGACCAGAAGTGCTCCAGATTTCAGATTTTTTTTGGGTTTTGGGATACAGTTTCGTGTCGTTTACCAATGGGACACTTCCTGGATGCATTGTTAGGCAATTTTGTCATTGTGCAAATGTCATAGCATGTACTTACACAAACCTAGATGGTGTAGCCTACTACACACTTAGGCTATATGGTATAGCCTATTGCTCCTAGGCTACAAACCTATACAGCATGTTATTGTACTGAATACTGCAGACAATTGTAACAATGGTAAGTATTTGTATATTTAAACATAGAAAAGTTGTAGTAAAAATACATTATCGTTGTCTTATGGGAACACTATCCTACATGCAGTCTGTTGACTGAAATGGTGTTACGTGGCCCTTGACTGTATTTGCATTGTACCTACTGGCTCAGTACATGTAATCTGAGAATCCAAAGTCCAAAATGGTCCAATGAGCATTTCCTTTGAAATGTTTGAGCATCATGTCAGTGCTCAAAAAGTTTTAGGGCATTTTGAATTTTAGATTTTCAGATTAGGGATACTCAGTAAGTACTGGACAAAGCCATGTTATATCCTCTCAAAATTTTGAGGCATGGAACTTTATCTTCACCCCATCTCCAGGTCCTATGCTCCAGGGGAATTTATAGGTTGCTTTGTTTAAACAGGTGAGGAGAAACAGTAAAGGGGTACCAGCCCCCCCCCCATTTTCCGCTCTGACACTTGTCATCTCTAGTCATGAGTCACTGCATGAGTGAGCCCCAAAGCCCAAAGAGGCCCCCATCTCTCTTGCCGTTTGGCAGGGACAGCAAATGCCACCTGGGTACACCATGTTCATGTACGAGGCCAGCATGAAGACAGTAATCCTGCGATCCATTGGTAATTCTGCAGAAGCACACACAGGTGCAGTCTGTGTAAATCCTTGGCCAGCTGTGCTGCACTGCACTCACGTAAGAGATGGGACCATTAGACAATAACCATGGAAATCACAACAATGTCTTACTCACCCAGAATTTTACGAGGAAGAAGGCATTTTGAGGGCCCTTTCCAAACAGTTCCTTTAAGCCACCTTTCTTTTCGGGAAATTTGTCATAAATCTGACGAATGTCCACTGATTCGAGCAATGGGTCACTGTAAGAATGGTTGGCATGCCCAATGTGCACGAAGAGGTGTTTGTTGTACTGTAAGAAGAAATCAACAGAAACATTTCCATTATAAACCTTCTGATCAACCTGGACTCAGCCATCTTGAACTGGATAGAGAGCAGTAAGTCTAGAAATTCCGGAATTAGGCCTTGTACAGCCTATGTATGTCTATGCCTTTGAAAAAACAAATACGTTAAGAAAAGTCAAAAAGTTATAAAGAAAAGTTATAAAGTTTAAAGAAAAGTCAAAAAAGTTATAGCTCAAGGTTAAAATGATCATTGTCAAATTGACAAGGGCATATATTTTCCCAAATGGCTAAAAAAGGCTTTTTGTGCACATAGTAAAAACAACAGCTCAGGTTGCCCCACTACTGAACCGAGAAACAATTGTTCCCCAATTTCACTTGACTCAACTGAAAATGGCAGCAACACTCTTTGGAGCCATTACTTACAGTGTGAGCCCAGTAAGATGTATGTGTGTAGTTAGCTAACATCGTCCCCCAAAAGGCATTCCTCACCCCAGCTCCCCTAGCAACAGTGTGGGTGCAGCAGTCGGAGCAATGGTACCCACTTCCTTCCTCCAGCAGGAGTAGACTGCTGAGCCTCTTTGTCACCAGTCCCCTTAGTAACCAACCCAAAACTTCTGTGTAAGAGCTAGTCAACATCAGGTTGCCAGTATAAAACTAGGATCAGGGTATAGATCATGGAGAATATCTATAAGGCCATATGTAGCCAGTGAAAAAGAGCACAGGTAACTCATTCACACACACACACAAATAAATAAATAAAAAATATCAAACCACATTAAGTCATTTAACTTTCAAAGGACACCCATTCTTCCTCTTGCTTTGGTATAAGTCATGGTAAAACTGGAGCACAAAGGAGCATGTCCAAGCCAACAATTCTCAGCTCAGTCTGCACTGGAATCACCAAGCAGCATTTAAAAATCACTACTATTGCCTGAGCACAAGCCAGACTAAATTGAAATCTCTGATAATGAGGCCAGCCATCAGTAATTTTTAAAGCTGGAAACATAATATACCCAAACTGTGGGATAATGACTAGTAACGCTGACCATTTTTAACCCACAGGGTGAGAGAAAATATCCGCATGCTATACATCCAACAAAGGGCTAATAAAACCAGAACCTACAAGGAACTCAAGAAATCAGCAAGAAAAAAAATCAAACAACCCCATTAAGAAGTGGGCAACAGACATGAACAAAAGCTTTCCTGAAGAAGACAGACAAATGGCCAAGAAACAGAGTGATATTTTTTATCAAATCTTCAAAAACTCAAAAAGTTATCAGGTGATGTGAAAAAAAGAAACCCATCAAGCTCTTACTTCACATGAACCCAGCTACATGGACTAGCTGGCTGGTGGATTTCAGATGAGACTGAGAACCTGTGGACTACTATAGAAGAAAAGGGTATGCTTGTGCTAGAAGAAATTAAAAAACAAACAAACAAACAAACAAACAAAAAGCAGTAAAACGTGAAAGCCACTGTGTTAGGGAGGTGAGACAATGGGGGTATGCAGGAATGCCTCTGGTCTTTAATTTTCTCGAATGTTTTCACCTCATCTTTTCAATTATATGCAAACAAAAGGCCATGGAAATGTATGAGGCACAGTCATGGCTGCTAAGGAGCTTCCAGTCTCATTAATGGCAAAAGGAGAACAAATAACACAGGCAAAGTTGGGGGCACAGCAGCTGGTATATAGGCAATCAGTTTGAAAAGATGAATGTGGGTTCATGCCTCATGTACAGCTCTTCTGTTCAGTCTCTGGTTACCCACCATTGCAGAAACTGAGGGCAAAAGGCAATGTTCCTTCATTATCCAGACATCTAGACATCTTTGTGTCTATCTATCCAACCCTCATTAATGACCTCTGCTTGCAGCTAGCTCCTAGCCCTACCCAGTTCTGGGAGGTGCCATTTCTGTAGCTCTAGTGTCTTCTGCAGGCAGTGCGTTTATAGGAAAGAATGGAATGCAAGCAGAGCCCAGGGGCCCCCATGAACTCAATCTGAGTCTTCCATCTGGGCTCCTCACCCTGCCTTGCCAGCTACCCATGGGCCAGGCCAGAGCTAGGAGAAGTTAAGAAGTTGGGAAGCTTAAAGTCTTTTTGCTCTTGACATCGAAATGCCCCTGCCCTGTCCTGTTGGCAATATGGACCACAGCCCTGACCTCTGCAGGTCTAGTGGTCAGGAAGGTGAACAGACGGTAAACTTACCACATGTAGATGGGGGCCATGAAGCTATAGCTGAAAAGCAAGGGGTGAGGGCAAAGCACAAAAACTCTGGAGCCAGACGCAAACCTGAAATCTCAAGCCTTCTCATATGCAGAATGGGGATATATATTAACAATATATGTTAATATATTGTTACACAGAACCGTTCTGAAGGTGAAAGGAATAGTGCACAGAAGGTGCTTGGCATTGGCCTGGCGTATAAAAAGTGTTCAATAAATCGTAGCTGCTAAGATTACTATAGTTATGGTTTATTATCATGTGAGATTAACTAGATCCTGGGGTAGAAGTAAAAGAACATTCCTGCTTTAGCTATCCCTCCTGCCTAGCAAAGAAAGAACAAACATAAACAGCCAAGAGCTGGAGGCTCATAGAGCCCTGTGACTGTTCAAATCCTCGATTATGGCCCACTCACCACCAGCCGCCCAGGGCGTGGGCCCCTCACCGTGCCTGGAGCACTTGTGTCCGCTGAATGCTGTGAGCAATATGCTTTTTATGTATCTGACCTCAGCTAATCCCTGCCTCATGATGACACTGTAGGTGGATTTTATTTAAATCATTTTACAGATGAGGAAATAGAAGCTTAGAGATGGCTTGCCTGAGGTCACACATCCAGGAATAGTCCTGGAGTTAAGAATAAAACTTGGACCTGTCAACAGCCCTTGCGTTTGCTGCAAACATCAGCCATGCTGTCTTCCAGAAGAAAATGCCTAAGCCCTTCTTTTTCTAAAAGTTGATTTGAGAAGGAGGGGGGAAGCTAAATAGTATTTTCAAAGGTCTATGAAATTAAATTAAAATTCAGAAAAAACATAATGATTCACAAATGCATCAGATAGAGTCCTCAAAGGTTTCTATTTTGAGGAAGTTATCTCTGTGCCCAAGTGGCTGAACAGAGAAGGGGCTGGCTGTCTTTGCCAAAGGAAATCGGCACTGCCTCGCCAAGGCTGGTGACTTGAAACCAAACCCTGACTGTTGGCAACTGCGTGGCTTTACTCCTGCCAAGATGTGGTGACTTTGTTTCTAAGAATACAAAGGACTACAGAAGGTGTCCTGGAGACCACAGTATTGAAACAAACAGACCTCCCTCTCTCCTTAATTCAACCTGAGTAGGTCAGGAATCCATCTGCCCCTAAATCCAAAAGGCTGAAAAGAAAAAAAAAAAATCTACCTGATATGTTTGGGTTCAAGTTTTAATGAAACTAAAACTCCAAAAACCATTAGGTGAGGCTCTAACCACTTCCCATCTGCCTGTTTTCCTTATAAGGGAAGAAGGCTAGGGTGGATTCCTTACTTGTCTCCCTCCTTCCCAAATAAATTTCATCTTCTCTCTGGTAGTGGTGGTTTCCCTAAAACTAAAGATGGCACACAAAAACAAAGAAAGGGAGAATTCTATTCCACAGGGCAGAAAACAAATACACACACACACACACACACACACACACACAACAAAACCTACGTATTGGGGGCAATATATGAATGGAAACAGGGTGAATGTCAGTGAGTTATGTATCCCAAGCTCAAGATTTTATTTCTTTAATATCCCAAACAGAGGTTCTTTGACACATCCAGAAAAAGGTCCCTAAGGTACTCAGCAGAGGCACACACAACTGATCATCAACATATCAAAGGCAACAACAGAAAAGCTACTCACTCTGCATATTTCTTCTATGGATTTTAGTAGAACAAACCAGCATACCTATTACCCATGATATGCCAGGCACTGTGCAAGGCACAAAGAATACATGAACTAACGACACAAAGTGCCTTTGCAGAGCCTACAGAGTAACTGTATGGAACTAGCTGATTGCCTCTATAGCTAGAATCGTATGTTGCCCAAACAAATATATGTCAGATTAGATTCCTACAGAGAAGACTGGGATAAAGACAGTCAACACCATCTCTCCTGCACATCACATGAATTAAATCGGCATTTACCTGCTCTTTGTAAAACAATGACCTTATTCTCCAGCATTAAACATAATGTTTTTTCTTTTTTTTTTTTTTTTTGAGACAGAGTCTCGCTTTGTTGCCCAGGCTAGAGTGAGTGCCGTGGCATCAGCCTAGCTCACAGCAACCTCAATCTCCTGGGCTCAAGCAATCCTGCTGCCTCAGCCTCCCCAGTAGCTGGGACTACAGGCATGTGCCACCATGCCCGGCTCATTTTTTCTATATGTATGTTAGTTGGCCAATTAATTTCTTTCGATTTATAGTAGAGACGGGGTTTTGCTCTTGTTCAGGCTGGTTTCGAACTCCTGATCTCAAGCAATCCGCCCGCCTCGGCCTCCCAGAGTGCTAGGATTACAGGGGTGAGGCGCCACGCCTGGCATAAACATAATGTTATTCAATAGCAAGGAAACAATATTAATATGTGAAATTCACCTAGAAAATGATGATGAAGAGTTTTGCAAGTCTAACACCAAGTCATCTATTACATGTGAGAGTAGAATACACTCTTGGATCCATAAGTTTCAGAAGATTGGCCTTCCTTGCACCCTTTCTCAGGCAGCCATCTTATACAGGGATAGGTTTACAAAATGAGGGAGTGAAACCAAAGAAGAGGGAGATGGGGCCTAACACAGAAGAAAGGGAAAGAAACTAGCCAGGTCCACAGCTGGCCGCTGACCTGGACAGCAGCCAGTCCCGAGTGGACGTGGAGCTGAGGACTCCTGGACGGATCTCACCAGAGGAGAACAGGCCTGAGAGATGCCCTGATGTATCTGACCACCTGGAGAAGAGCGTAAGTTTTCTGTTAGAAACAGTGACGATGACTTTGTGTAGTTATATAAAAAC